AAAAAAAGGATAAATCATAAACTCTTGTGACCATTTTCAAAAGAAAACCCCTCTGTATTTTCTTTTTATTTTAAAATATATAAGTGTCATAACTAATTTTGTTAACAAATTAACATAAAAATATAACGAAGAAAATATACTATATAGTATGTATTCATTTTGAATATTATTAAAATAAAAATTTGTCGCTTTTATTTATCAAATAAGCAATTGATTATCACTCCTCTTCACCCCCTTTGTCTATACGCAATTTGAAATTATAAACTATTTCAATTTTCCCCTAAAATTTTCGATGGCAAAGAATATTCTGTCACCACCGGCTATCTTTACTCAAACCAATAATTATATCCCCATTCTGTCGATGAAATAACAGAATAATATACATACATATAATCAATCGTAAATGAAGACAAATCAACATTGATTATAAGCCGATGCCAATTGCTTATAAGGTCGACTGAATCTGTTGTCAATCGTAAATGAAGAAAACTTTATATTTTCAGTTGTTCGTTTTTCTAACACAACATGGATATTGTTCCTTTTTCAATTTTTTTTACTTTAAAACTTTTTTAATTTAAGATAAATAACAAATAGAAACTAGGCCCCACCCTCACTCCCTTCCCCGATCCTCATTTTCTCTCTCTCTCATCTCTCATCTCTCTCACAGGTAAAATAACCATCGAAAACACCACCGCCGAAAAAGGTGAACGCCGCCACCACCACCGGAAAAGATGAATGCAACCTCCAAAACGCATCAATTTTCGTCGAAGACAAACGAACCCTCGATTTTCTGGTGATCTATAAACGCTCCCCCTCTTCAGATCTAGATCGTCATCGTTGTCGTCGGTTTTCAGAAAATGATCTAGAATGTTGTTGTCGATCTGGAACGTCTCCGCCACCATTCATCATCTTCGGTTGCGTCGTCGTCAGATCTGTTCGAGAAAGAGATTGGAGACGTATAAAAACCCTTGATGCTCATCAGTGGACGAAGGTACTTTTCAAACTTCGTATTCAACCTCCAAATTCATCATGTTCTACTACTGGTGGCCTGAAAAACCCTAATGAGAAATTGATTTATGAGGAAGTACAAATTCGTCAAAAAACTGAGATTAAGGGCGCTATAGATTTGGTAATTGATGATGTAGAAGGTTTTGTTTGAGGAAAACATGGTGGAAATCAAAGGTAGAGGAAGGTGGGTTTTTTTCCTTTCACTTGTCAAATTCATTTTGCTTAATTGGAGAATAGTGGTGATTTCCGGCGGTCACCCTAAGGTTTGATGTAGCTCTGACGACCTCGTGCTTCATGACAACTAGGGTGCCTTCTTCAGATCAGATTTCACTTCTTGATCATATTCCACTTCAAGAAATATGAGTTTCGTTTATTTCAACCAAAAATTCAAAAAAACATACTTTTAGTGAGAGAAAGTAAGTGAGAAAACTTCAAAAACGTGAGAGAAAACAAGGAAATAGATGGAACATAGGGATATATATGTGGGTTTTTTGTTTATTTTTTAGTTGCAGGTGTATAACGAAAATATATATGGGTTTTTTTATTTATTTTGAGTTTAAGAGAGAGAGAGAGAGAGAGAGGTAATTTGTTTTTCTTTTAAGCATATAAAAATATTTAAATAAATAAATAAAACTGAAAAATAAAAAATAAGGGCAAAATCGTCATTATAGAAAATTTCAAAGGAAGTTGGACCAAACTCGCAACAAAATGAAAAGTTTGGACTTGTGGTTCTAGTCCAAACTTTTTTGGACAAAAGTGACAATTTTAAGGTAACCACAGAGACCATTTGTTCAGTTTTGTCTTGAATTTATAAGAAAATAAGAAAAATAATGAATTATTATAATTGAAATGTTTTTTATTTTTTAAATTTAAACAAACAATTTAAATAAATAAACAAAAAAACTAGTGAGCTTTAATTTTGGGATTTTTTAAATTAAAAGGTAAGTTCATTAATGAAAATTATATCCAGTTATTATTACATTTATTGTAATTATTACATTAAAATAATATGTGCAGTTTAATAAAATAGAAAAACTCATAAAATGACATTTAAAAAAATAATTCAAAATAACTATAAAATGACATTTGGTAGATTGAATGAGAGTGTCATGAGAAAATGACATAAAAACCTTCGTTTGTTAGAATAGAAGATATCAACTAAGGCAATTAATTTTGATCATGATAAATTAATTTACACATAAACAAAATTTTATTTATTTTCTAATATAATCATAAAAAAAATTATTTAGGAATTTTTACATGGTTGATAAAAAAAATATGTACATAAAATTACATATAAAGTAATCATAATATAATTATAACTTTTATACAAAACATCTACTTTTATAAATTAATGTGTATTTTTATCATTGTTGAATCATAAACTTATGAACTGAATATATTTTTCCTAAATATATACGTATTTTTTTTAAAATATAGGTAATTGAAAATAAAAGATTATTTTGATTAGGTGCACTATGAAATAGAACTTTGTATTTATTGTTATTCATCATATTATATATTATTTTATAATTTTTAATAAAATTTTATTTTTAATTTTCATTTGTAACTTTTTATATTTTTTCATATATTTTTTTTCAACAACTTAATTTTCTTATTTGTCATATATCAATTTTAATTTACTCTACTTGTTATGGTTGTTTTATTTTATAATTATTTTAACATTTCATTTTACAATATCATTTATTTTTCATTTTTTTTGGAATGGCGGAAATCTATTTTTCATTAATTCACAAATTAATAAAAATTGTTTCATATGTCTTCAAAAATAATTTACATATTTATTTGAATCAACGATTATAATTTACATAAATAAAAACACATAAATCTCTTAATTAATATTTTATTTAAAATAATTGATTAATAATTTTAAGTTTTTATTATAAAAATTTAATTATAAAAATCAACTATAACCTAGCAAATAATATTCACATGCTAAATTTATCCAAAACTAATACTTTCAAACAATACGAAAAGTTTATGCAAGAGTTAAACAAGTCTCCTTCCGTGCAGAGTTTTCCTTTCGGTCACGAAGAAGCATTCTTACCGGTTGCTCCAATACTCATCCATAGTCCGAAAATACGGTCATCAACATGCTTTTTTCAACTTTTTATCTATAATGCTCTTCTTTTTTCTTAATTAATCTTGACTTTGTTTGTCATTTTGCAGAACTTTCTTTAATTGATTCCAGAAAGGCGATGATCACACTTTTATATTGTTGTGAGGGAGAAAAGATGAGAGCCTGGAAGCCATATTTTTCAGTCCTTAATCTGGTCAATGATTGGATGAATTAGTAGTGGAGATAAAAGACGTGGTTTTTAGCTCATTGTAGATGAGATCGATGACACACATGCATGTTTGGAGACACCATCAGGGCTTTATGGACCTTCCATCATTCCTGGCCTAACAATTAATCACAATAACCGCTGACAATATCAAAATACACATTAATTAATCTACTTGCAAAAGACAGGCGCATGCCACAAGACGTTGGTTTAATATTTATTTTGTGCGTTTCGTGTTTCTAGTTAGTCAATTGAAAAAGACCCATGACGGAGTTGTTTATGATCAAAAGAGCTTAGAGCTTACATTCTTTATAATATCCCAACATAGCTTAGTGGTCAGTAACTTTTAGCATGCAACTAGATGTCTTATCTTCAGTTTTGACAACGCTTATTTAATTTTAAGGGTTTAATTTTATAAAATATACAAAGAATGCTAGATTTGTGAGCTTTCTGATGTGGAGTTAATTATGACATAGAACATGTATGCTCTTACAAGCGTGATGTGTTGTGTAACATGTACGCTAGGTTTTTATGTGATGCTTATTTTAGACATCTAACAATTAATTGATCATTTCCTTAAGGTTACTTATTCAATCAAAATGTGCAACTATTATCTGATTATCATTTGTATATGGTTATATATATACGAACAATAATACTATTGCATGATGCTACCAGTCTTTTTAGCTTTCTTGCAACAGTTACACTTGCGGGTCAAGTTGCATTGTTTCTCTGTTGTTGAACTTTAGGGATCATTGGCTACCGTCGAATATGGTCAGCTAATTTTAATGACTTTTTATCTTGAACAGAAAGTGAAATTATTTGGTTTTATTAATTTTGCATTATTGATCTGTAACCCCACACAGCTATAAGGACATACTGTTGCATGAAAACATGCTTAGAACATGCCCTTTTGCTCTTTTCTATCTCTATTTCACCTTTATTTCCTTTTTGAGCAACAATGACGTTCTTTGTTTTGCTTATGGACTGTTGATGGCATGAAATTGACACAGAATGAACAGGCATTCTTACTACTTTTGTCCATAAAGCAAAGATGTTGAGCATTAACGAGGTGAACTTGAAGAGACCCATTTTTGATCAAACCAAATTATATAATTGGTTTTGTGGCTTGGTCTTATGGGAGCTAGGTCACGATTTTGATTATGATAGATGATCATGACTACAACGTTTATGCCTTTCAACTTCCTAAATGTAAATGCATCTTTTCTTCTTGAAAAGAACCATATATTGAAAAGGCATTGCGAAAAGTATTATAGAAATATAGGGGGGTCTTTTCTTTCCTATTTATTTTCTAAAAAATAGCTAAAAGCGATTCTACTACAAACAAAGTAAAAATAACAAATAATCTAAAGCGAGCCAATGTGTTGATTTACTTTGATCTTAATTCTTATCCGGACCATGCAAGCTTTTTACTAATATTAAAAACAATAAATTACAACTGTTTATTCTTACGAATGATATAATCAAGCACATATGTAAATTAGTCAACTAATTTACATATGTAAACTAATTTACATATGTAAATTAGTCAACTAACCAATGAAAATTTTATACACCAAACTTGATAAAATTGAACATATATATAAAGATTGTTTCTATTAATTTCTATTAGATATTTCTACATACGTATGTAACTATGTATGTTGATCAATTCCTAACTTACACCAAGGCTCAAGCTTGAATCAAAATGAAATTACATACCAAAAAAACTAATATGTGTGAAATATATAATAAACAAAATAAATATAAGTTTTAAAGAAAAATGGTCGATGCCAATTGAATTTCCAGCAGCAAGATCGGCATACAATGAACTATTCGAAAAGAATTCTTTCAAGGGATCCGACTCACTCCCATTTGTAGGCCTCATTAATCCTTTCGTAACTTTTCCACTACAAATAATAAAAAATAAAAATTAATTATATATTTTAAAAATAAAAGCATATCGTAAGACAAATATGTTTTCAAGATAGTGAGATGAATAGTTGACCCATTGACCTTTAGGTTGAAAGGGTTACCTTGGGAGTGAGGGACAAAATGTGATCACATAATTAGCATCCGTACACGTGAAAGTACTAGTTGCATCATCGTACGCGTAGCTGTACGACCTCGGACACGCCGTCTTAAACACCTGCGAGTACGCCGTTGGCTGACACGTGCTGGGCGAATCGAACTCTCCCTTACAGCAATACTCCGGCGTCCCAAACGCCTCACATGCGCTTCTACAACCTCCGCCACCCTCCACCATCAGCTCAGTCGGACACCGCCGGTTTAAGTCATCTACACACCCCGTCGTCCTGCAATCACCCGACCCACCGCTCACCTCCACGATCATCTGTAAATTGTACCCATCGACAAGGCTGACGTCGTAGAAGTCCTGTGTGGCCGAACCTGATATCGATCCAAGGGTGAACTCCGCCAGGGTGGCCGGTGGGGTTGCTCCGGCACCATTACATTGCACTTCTCCGGAACCACAATCAGCCGTGGCACATGATCCGTGGCCGGTGGAATCAAAGTTACAACCTGTTCTTCCCCAGAAGCGACCGGACCATCCTGCCGGAGCTTGAAAGGAACGTGAATTACCGTTTGCGAGTTCAAATCCGGTGCTATCAAGAACTGGATTGCCTAGAATTCCCGGCCAGACTGTGTAGCTGCACTTGTTGACAAATGTAAAAGTAGCACATGAAACTCCTGAAATAAGAAGAAGAAGCAGTTGGAATCACATTCTATATATGGTAGAAAGACAACACTTGAATGAAGTTAATTAAGAGAAGGTTTACCTTTAAGGATAAAGAAGAGAAGAGATGTAAGAACCAAATTAGAGCGAGTCATATGGATTATTGGGTAGTTCGTGTTGAAACAGAAGTGGTTTTTGGTGGAATATATAGAGTGGAATGTTATGGAAATTATAAGGATTAAGGAAGAAGAGGCAGATCGAGGGAATTTCGAAGTAGGGAGATGCGTTGCTATTTATGCAAATTCAATACCACCTGCCGACCACTGCCTTTTTTTTCCCACTAAAGTCGATCATAATGATATATATTAACTTATCCATCACGTAAAATATTAATCTTTTAAGACTGTATCATTTAATTTCATAAGTACTTCTATACGAGTGCTTTAACTAATAATCAATTGTTCTAACGACTTTAAAAATTGGTCGATACAAGAAATTACGTGGAAATTGTTTTGTATGTGAGAGCATGTAAGTTTTTTTTATAGTTTATTACATCCTCTCTAATCCTCTCTAATA